TGTACTTTTTTGAATATTAAAAGAATTCTGAAAACTTGTCATGCATTTTGTCAAGTGTTTTGTTGTGTTTCTTGATGTGTTGGTACAAAAATGCCATAGCTTTAGACTAATTCTATTTATAACCTTTTCTGCACAGAAAACGAAGAAAGCATGTAACAACTTATGAGAGTGTGCCAGCTCAATTCATTTGTAATGCATTTAGATTTACAAGTACATTTATGTCAATTTAGAAACTCCATTTATTTTACTTTTCATATTTTCAAAAATACTGCTTGTCTTAAGCCCTTTTCACACAGAGAGTTTAATTCAATTGATGCAAATTAGTTTAATTCGAATTCATTTACTGCGCATTAAATTACTTCGCATTAGCTCCATGTGAATGCTAAGCGAAGCTTATTCGAATTAAATTTTGATGCATGCGTAAGGCCAGAATTAAGTCATAGGACATGTGTTGGTGGTTATATATAGATATTTGAGCTATATTTGATTAAAAAAATGAGAGATAGTATGTTAACCACTAAAATCAATGAATACCTGTAACCACTACATGATGTTTCAAAGGATGGCTCTGCATACATTACGTGATTTACAAATGACGTCATAATAACTTGCTTACGCCTGACTGAAGATGGAAAAATTTAATTCGCATTAGTTTACTTCGCATCAGTTGTCGTGTGAACGCAATTTAATTCGCATCAATTTGATTCGCATTAGTTTACTTCGCATTAATTTATTGCAAATTATACTCGTCGTGTAAACAGGGCATACGATTTCAAATTTCCCTCCATTTTTTTCAAATATTTAATGCATGCAACCTACGTGCACTGACTAATGGAGTATTCAACTAGCGGTCAACTGCAAAAGAAATAGTGGAGTATTCAACTAGCGGTCAACTGCAAAGGAAATAGAGGAGTAATCAACTAGTGGTCAACTGCAAGGGAAATAGAGGAGTAATCAACTAGCGGTCAACTGTAAAGGAAATAGAGGAATATTCAACTAGCGGTCAACTGTAAAGGAGATAGAAGAGTATTCAACTAGTGGTCAACTGTAAAGGAAATAGAGGAATATTCAACTAGCGGTCAACTGTAAAAGAAATAGAGGAGTATTCAACTAGCGGTCAACTGCAAAGAAAATAGTGGAGTACCCATACGAAAATGTGTAGTTGACCGTCAACTAGCCGTCAACTAACCGTCAACTAGTCGTCAACTGTTAATGCGAAAACAGTTGACCACTCGGAGTTGAATGCTTTTCTGAAAGCGATCAACTGATTTGCATAAAACGGCCGGTTGACCATTAATTGAATGCTAATACTTTTAAATTTCATGCAGAACAAGAGTTGACCACTAGTTGAACACTCCGACTTGAAAGAAAATTTCTCCCACGCTAAATTTATGTTGGGTTCAAAATTACATTATTATAGATCGGGTTTGTTATACCATAATTACAACAACCAAGATTTGAATCGGTACATGTGTGTTTTCTGTAGAAGATGGGAATTTTGATTTGAAACATTATTATTGTCTTCGTGATGATTTAGCGTGTGAAGTATATCTCATGTACTATTGTAAGTATATAAAATTTAAAGATTTGTTTTTACTAAGCTTGTTATTTTTAAACAGATAATAGGAATGCAAAAAAATGTAGCCAGTGTAGGTCCCTACTTTTGTGTACTTTTTTAAATATTGAAAGAATTCTGAAAACCTGTTATGCATTAAGTGTCTTGTTGTGTTTCTTGTCGTGTTGTAAAAATAAACAATTGCTTTAGACTAATTCTATATATAACCTTTTCTGCCCAGAAAATGAAGAAGGACTGTAACAACTTATGAGAGTGTGTCATCTCAATTCATTTATAATGCATTTAGATTTACAAGTACCTTTATGTCAATTTAGAAACTCTATTGGTTTGACTTTTCATATTTTCAAGAACACTGCTTGTCTTAGATTTCAAATCTCCCTCCATTTTTTTTCAAATATTTAATGAAAGCAACCTACGTGCACTGACAAATGGAGTATTCAACTAGCGGTCAACTGCAAAGGAAATAGTGGAGCATTCAACTAGCGGCCAACTGCAATGGAAATAGTGAAGTATTCAACTAGCGGTCAACTGCAAAGGAAATAGAGGAGTAATCAACTAGCGGTCAACTGCAAAGGAAATAGAGGAGTATTCAACTAGCGGTCAACTGCAAAGAAAATAGTGGAGTATTCAACTAACGGTCAACTGCAAAGAATATATAGGAGCATTCAACAGTGGTCCACTCTCTGCAAATGAGTTGATCGCTCCCTCATTTGCATGGCAAAAATTCAACTAATGGTCAATTGACGGTCAGTTGACCGTCAACTAGTAGTCAACTGAATACTCCTATTGAATTCTAATAGTCCTTTTAATATGGGTATTCAACTAGCGGTCAACTGTAAAAGAAATAGAGGAGTATTCAACTAGCAGTCAACTGCAAAGGAAATAGAGGAGTATTCAACTAGCGGTCAACTGCATAGAATATATAGGAGCATTCAACAGTGGTCCACTCTATGCAAATGAGTTGATCGCTCTCTCATTTGCATGGCAAAAATTCAACTAATGGTCAATTGACGGTCAGTTGACCGTCAACTAGCATTCAACTGAATACTCCGATTGAATTCTAGCTAATAGTACTTTTTAATATGGGAATACGAGGGGTGATCAAAAAGTTCGCAAACTAATTGAATAACTTTCATACAAGAAACAATATTTGGTTTTAATGTTGATTATATTTTAAATTAATCCTCCCGAATTTTAATGAACATCAACCACCGTTCTGCACATGCGCGAATCACGTGATATTGGCGGTCACGTGACCCCCTTCGTAGCGTTCTGTCACAAAAGTTGAAAGATTTTTCCGAGTTATATATTTCTTTACTTGTGAGTTAATTTTTATGACAAGAACAGTTCATTTGTCAGAAATGGTCATATCTCGGCAACAGAATGGGTGGATAATAACATACTTTCCAAAATTAAGCATGGCGACCATTAAAACACAAATCTTCCGTCTCAGGAGAGACCTTTATTCAAGGTGGATAGAGAATGGGTGCATCCTTTTTATCATATCTAATATGTTAAAATCTAAAGTAAACGATATCTTAGGTATTTAATACTTATATCATTGTTCAAATATTCGACTATTTTTCAAAGTGCTATTTGGAGGTCTTTGATAGTCAATTGCTTAATTAAAAATACATATCTTTTCAAATTTGTTTTCACTGGGTAAGATGACAAGTATCATTTTTAACCATCAGCCTTCCTTCACTAAAGCGATTAATCCAATTATTAATTAAATTTAAAGGAACTCATTTATTTAAATAAACTGTATACAAATTATTATATGATACTGTAGAGGGATTTCTAAGATATAACAATAAATTGTACAGTCGTTTGTTGAACGAGTACGAGTGAGACAACCATTTTTCGTCACAAGTGACCTAAATAGTGACGTCATTTTCACATTGTGACGCCACAAATAAGAAGAGAAACTTTATTCAGCATATGCTATTTATAGACCTTGTGTATGCCTATGTGTGTATTGAATTTCATTCTAATCTGAATTGTGGTTTTGTAGATATAGAGATAGTTTGCGAACTTTTTGATCACCCCTCGTACAAAATAGGAGCCGAGCAAACACGGAACTCCGAAACATCAGAGGTCGGTTCAGGTTCGATAGAGATGTGGGCATCCCCTGCTGACCGGTCACACCCGCCATGGGCTCCTTGTCATGTCCGGGAAATAACGGAAAAATCCGTCGTCAATTCAGTATATAAATAATAGACTAACAATTAGTATGAAAAACGTCAGTCAGCATTTGACTCAATGATAAATTGTATTTGCCGACAAGGTCATTGTATCGACTATAGAACTTATGAAATGATGACTTTAAACGAGATTGTTGATCTTCTTGTTTTATCAACTTGCTTGTCAATAATTTACCTCGTTTTAGAAATTGTTCATACGTAGAGCATGCTCTTGTGTATCGAATCAACTGAGATATATACACTTCGTTTGCAGGTGATGAAAATATATTGCTGCATAAGTAAGGGAAGTTGACCATAAAAAGGTTAAAGTCATTACGTTTATCATATAGCTTGGTTGTTTGATTACCATTAACGTCTTTTTCAAGTAAAATATCCAGGTATGAAACAGATGTGTCAGACTCTGTAGTATCTTTTATCTCAAGCTCACCAGGATATATCGTATCGACGTAGGAATTGAAATTACCATTGTTAATTGACAATATGTCGTCGATATATCTAAATGTTGAGTTGAAGGCCAAGTGTTTTATTTTCACATATAAGATTTTGCACAAATTCTGCTTCATATGAATATAAAAAAGGTCTACTAATAACGGAGCGCAATTGGTACCCATGGGAATTCTAGTAGGTTGTTGGAATACCTCGTCTACAAAAAGCACCTAGATATTGTCAATCAGAAACTCAAAGATCTCTTTGATGTCAACTTCAGAGTACTTGTGTGTGCAATCAGAATGTGTTTTAACAAAATAATTTTGCAAATGACCAATGATAGAGAAAACAGGGTTTCGCTTTTTGTTAGCACTTTCGAGCGCTAGCAACTACTTAGGTGCATATATTTAGAAACGCATACTCGGCCTCATGGTCGTGTATGCTCGGAAAAACTACTGCGGAAAGACTGTACGATAACATTTTGTTTTGTCATTGCTACCGCTCTCGATAGCCTGGTTACCTGTCCGTGTGATGCGCTTTTACTTGCAAAATATGTACGACAAAAAGCAACAAAATGTTCTTCGTTTAATTCTGTCTACACTTGAAGAGTGCTATAACTCGTAAACACCAAAAACAAATCATAACACGGAAATGTTATGCACGTTACAACCTCTGGATTTAAATCTTACAGAAGGGAGGCGAAGCGTTTGTTTGCAGGTAAAACTTGCCTGGAACATTCTTATCGGCATGAAAACCCATTCTATTGCAGCCATTTTCACATGACTTGCACATACCACTGTAGAAGTCCAAATAACTTTTACATAGGTAGGCTTTGAATTCACAAGAGGAATTAATGGACTCGGTAAAGTAGTCGATCGCCCGCATGTGACTGCATGCTATGTTTGATGAAATCTCTATGAAAAGAGAAATATGTTAGTGTTTATGATAAACTAATCACCTAATTAGGACATCTTTTAAAATTAATTTAATATTCAAACAATAATTATATGTTTAAAGAAAATTTGGTGGTTATTGCTAAACTAGGGAACTAAACATACAAAAGCCACGATAGAAATCCACAAAGCACAGAAAAAAAGAGAAGAAACAGCGAGAAATATTGGTACGTACCTTCCACTTCTCCTTGAAATAAATGCAGAATGTTGCTCCATAGACTAAGCTTACATCCGGGTTGTCTTGTACCCCCGTTCGGATAGAAGTCAACATGTCCATTTGGTGTCCTGATACCAAAAGCTATGAGACAGAAAGTAAGATATAAGCAAATTAACATCCAATTTCAGATGCCCTCTTCATGAATTTCGTGAGACTTGTTACATACCCATTTCCAGCAGAGAGGCACCATCGGTGTGAATGACGTCAACAAAATTCGCGTCAGTAGGATCCAGTTTAACCTTGGTGTCATATTTTTCAAAATATAACCCAGCCGGGTCTAGTCCTAAAGTTTAAGACCAATATCTCATGTTATCCCTTAGAGTAGACTCTGTTACATACTTATTTGTAAAAAAGAAAAGAAAGAGCTCTTAAATAATAGAGGGTTAATCAACTACTTTGAATTGATATAACATGAAAAGAGATAGGTGCTCTTTATTTTTGATCAGAAATCAAGAGCTGATTTAAAATAATTTTAAATATCTTCATCCCAATATGAATCATAATGATATAGCAGTAAACGAATAAATACATACCCGTGATTCTGCCAATTCCTCGTACCCAGTCCCCGGCGTACCCCATGATATGGGCACCGAGACTATGTCCGATAAGATAGATCTTTCCCAGAGGTAAGCTGAAGCTGTCTCGAAGAACCTTTATCATGTTCCCAATGGTGGCCCCCACCACGCGGGTATTGGCAGCGGACTGACTGTAAAGTCTTCCTTGGGTGCCTTTTGACCAGTCAACAGCTATCACATTCATGTCTCCCTGAAAAGAATAAATAAGAAAATAATATTCGTAGTGATATTTAATAAATCTTTTTGCTAATTGTCCGTACAAGGACGGAACCGGTGTTTGGACTTGTCTCTGAATTTTCCAGACAGCTCGAAATAAATATATTTTTACGTTATATCATAAAGGTTTTATATATTTCCCCATTTTGATTTGACAGCACAATGCTAATATATGTTTTATGGGTACTTCCGGTCAAACGCAAACTTGTTATATCCATCGCTTGAGAAATGGGAGGGTATATTGTGATCAGGATGCTTTGACGATACCCATCTCTCATCCGCAATTCTTCTTACACCACTGAATGAACTTTACTGATACTTTCACAGACTCTTCATGACATCACGCCATTGTGTACCTCCTATTTTATTTTTTGATCTGACACATATTTGGGGTCTCCCAGAGCAAAACATGGACTTTTATCATGGGAGGGGGTATCATTTAGTGAACTCATTGCACACAGTACCTCCAATGAAATATTATTAACAATTACATTTCATCATAAAAATAGATGATTTTTTTTTCAAAGTGTAATATTATGAAATCTATTTCTATATGTATTTATTCGTTTTTATTTATTTTTTCATATCGTTTTGAGAAATAAGATCTTAAAATTTGATAAACCAAAAGTTCGATTGCGCACCTGGATTGAGTTGCCTGAGTAAAGTTTTATTCTATGATTTCATTGGCTCATTCATTTGATTGGTCATTTCCTATTTTTTCATCCAATAATACATTTTCATTATAAGTATAAATTTACCGCGCTTTACCTATGTATGTCAGAGCAGTACATGTATTACGTTTTCAAGAAAGAAGTTAGTAAAATCCAGTGTCCATCATACGCATCTTATGGTATGTAACTTATATATTTGATTATGTGTTTCCTTACCATATAAAGATTTGATTTACGTAATTATTTTGATTGCAAACGTTTCACTTTATTGTATTTTTGCATTCAGAGTTGTTACTGAAATAATAATGAGTCTGTAAGATTTCAATTTGAATTGTTTACAGTACACATTTTTTCATGGAGTTCATTTTTTTCTTAAACGTATACTGTAGGTAAATTATTTTAAATATTATTTTCACAATTTCTGTAATTTTGACTTATTATGTACTTTGTTTATTTTAGATCAATGCCTTTATTTTCTCAATAAATTATGAAAACAACATCTGCCTTACTGCTCGGTTACAAAAGTACATCACAATTTTTTTTGCCAGTGCCTTTCATAATCAATATATATACAACTTTGTAATAACAAAACCTTTTTCTATAAAAATTCTGTCTATAATCCTCTTTATTAGCATATCGGTATTTAATTTTGGAACACTTTTATATTTACTAGCAAAAATAAATTGTTTTACAGTAAGTATTATCAAGTTTTGTAATTTACATATATTCCTGTTCTCATATTTACCAAAACGTATTGCTAGTTTGTCAAAACTACCATGAATCTCATTTTTTTCTAAAACCATTTCTTTAATCCTACACCATAAATCTTTTACTTTAAAACATTCTACAAAAAGTGGTCAATTGTTTCTATGTCACTTAAACAAAATGTACAGGCTGATGAATCAATCAACTTCGATCTAAAAAGACAATAATTTGTTGAGATAATTCTGTGTAATATTTGAAATAGGAACCAGTGAAATTTTTATTTCTGAGTAACTTTGAAAGGAAGTTGAAATATTTTATTCCAATATGCTTCATCAAAGAAAACAATATTTTAATTCCACTTTAAAAGAGAACCGATTGGCTTTCTCTTATTATTCATAACTATTTTGTACATATCTATACATTTATTAGGATTTATTAATACATCCTTTATTACTTCTATAAAATATAAAAATTGAAATTGGAATGTTTGGTCCAATAATCTTTAATCTTTTAATTTCCTCTATATTTGCATACTTCAATCTTTTTAATAAAGCCCTCTTAAGACCATCACATTAAATTGACGAGGGATTTTTTCCGTTTTTTCACGATCATGACAATGAGCTCACGGCGGGTGTGACCAGTCAGCACGGGGTGCTCACTCCACCATGGCACCTGATTCCACCTCTGATGTTTCGGTCCGTGTTTGCCCTGCTCTTTTTAATTGTTTTATGGACTTTTATATTGAATATTGTTCGTTATCTCCATATCCTTCTTCATTCAACAAAAATGTGTTTTCACTTTTGAGTTTACTATGGTATCAAAGCTTTAAAAGTTACCAAAATTATCAAAAAGGTCATTTAACAAGACAAAGCCTTCATCAAAATAGCTTTTCCAGAAGAAAGATTTTCTGTTCATCATTATCTGTGGGTTATTCCATATATGTTCTAATAACACATGTCTGTTTTCTTGGTTTATATTTATAAGTCTTACCCAGGAATTAAGGACCTCTTTCCAAAAATTGTTTGTTAAATTCTTTGTTAATTTTAGTTTGTAATCTGAGCCCCTTATCCACAAGCTTTCAATGTCTTTTTTAGTTCAACTTTAAACAACTTTATCCATTTTGCATCTGAGTGAATGAGTCTTCTAACCCAATCTGATTTAAGCGCAGAAATGAATTCTGGGTAATCTACCATTTTCAATCCTCCATATTTATAGTCCTGAATTATAATATTTTTTTTATCTTATGTATTTTACTATTCCATCAAAAGTGAAACAACTCTGTCTCAAACATTTTTAGAAATTCGGATTTAGGATTTGGTAGTATCAGAATCAGAACCACTGAGCAACATGCGCGAAAGGACCCAAGTTTACTTAACGGGCACTTCCTACATTTAAGGTGAAATATTCTGTCTATCAAACATTTTGATATATAAAGCCGCTTCAATGACAAGCAATATAAAGCAGACATTATAGTAGACTGTTGAGTTTTGAATTTGAACACAGTTATTCTTTTAATAATTTATGTAGTGATTATAAAAAGTATTGGTACCTGATAACTTAAGCGATACAATGCAAGTTCAAACTTGAATTGAAGCATATAACATTTTTAAGACAAAAAGACGACTTTTTATGCTCACCTTTTTTCCTTCTTGCTTTGCCACACGCAAACCAAAATGAACGACTGTCCTGCTTACTCAGTCTTTTAAAAGGAAACACGTGTCTAACCGTCTTTTCCAAGGCTTTGAAAAGTGGGAGGGTATATAGAAATCGGGATGTCCGTCCATCTGTTACGCCTTGGTTTGCCCACCTCTTATCCACAATTTTAACTTCCCTTATACCACTGAATGAAAGAACTGAGAACGATAGCATTTTTCCCGCCTACCTCCATGTCAATTTTCTAAGTTAACATATTTGAAAAATTGTACATTTATTTAGATATTTATATGAATTTTCATGAAACATCACGTTCACACTTCACTTCACTTACATAAACAACTATACATTTGTATGCATTTCAGCGCACTGTGAGATGACGCTAGGCTTTATTGTTTACCCACGATATGAACAAAGAAGTATAAAACATCTATCAATTTATACAAAATTTAAATAAATACAACTATTGAACTATGCTTCCATCGCCGCCTAGGAAAACCATAGATAAAAACAACACTAATTTATGTTGAAAAAACATATGGATACCTGCAAGTCCGAAGCAATATTGTAAGGTAGACAAAATGAACAACAGACTCATTCTCACAAACCTAACGTATGAAATTGCCATTTATTATAATGTACAAAACGTTGACTTGCTCAGGTAGAGCGTGCACTAGAGAATAAATACTAGAAATCTCTTAAACCCATTCGAACATGTCATTACTTAAAACTCATTTCCATTGGCCATTACTCAGTACACAATTATCGATATGAAACTTTCGTTCCGACTAAAACAATTTGTTTACATGTCATTAGGATAATTATTTCTCGCTTTACTCGTAACGCGAGAAATTTTAATCATTTGAAAAACAAGGAGAGGTAACTCTTTAATTAAGATAAAACTTGTGTGTTTTAACTTCATGTATATAAATCAATTGAAAACGGAATATATTTTTAAAACATCCTTCCATGTGAAACAAAAATTCCTTTTTACAGGTAAAATGAACTGTCATTTCACAAATTCATACCAAAGCCTGTTTGTGTTTATCGGAGGGGGCATATGTTCATAGTCACTTTATATTGCACATTAATACACGATTCCTTTTCACAAGTTTTACAGAGTTATCGCGCTTTGTCACACGGAGGCGTTGTCGTCAGTCGACATTACGGTGCTGACAGTGCACGTTGCTTTATCAAACCAAAATCTGAACAGGGCTGATTTTAATAAAGAGCAGTTTATTGGTTATTTTTCTGCAACTGATTCATTGATTCAAGGCAAGTTTATTATTCCTTTCATTTTTTTTTGTTATTCTCGCGAGAAGGTTGCTTTAGCTTTTGTACACATTTTATACGCATTGTAGATCCAAATTACAGCGGAAAAATTCTATGGAATGAATGTGCAGTAGTCCGATTTTCTCTTCGCCCAGGCGTTGTCGTTAAAGCGTCGCTCCGCTTCAATGTTTTTCAATAGGGAGACCACTATAGGGTCACTATATGTTGATCATCAATAGGTATCGAAAAAATCCATTTACATTTGTTGCAGAGTCATTAGTATTTTATTGTACTCGTTATACAGTAATTATCGTGACCAAATCAATGGACACACAGCTGTTATCACCTATTTTGGTCCCCCTATTTTGATAGCTATAAGTTGTTTTAATGATAATCGTTTAATAACAGTCTATAAAGTAAATGACATAAGTCTATAAATCCTGAAAAGTTGTGTTTTAAAGATATCATCTTTCTGTTTCCTAATCATTACAAAGCTGCATTACAGAGTGCCCCTTCTCTTTATAAGATATGTGCATTAACCATTTGTATTTTGGGTGTATTTTAAATAATTAATTTAAATAGTTTTTCATTTTTGATAAATGAATCAATTTCAACTTTAACTCATCAGGTTATTAGGCGTACCTAATAATTGGCGAAGTATCATTTGTTATGTTCTGGGTTCGTTCAAATAACAAAGAAGCCGTGCTATCAACATTTGTAGCAATACAAACATAGTCGCATCTTCACCAACAAACAAAACTATGACTAGAAATTACCGACTAGAAACTTTCAAAGAACATTACCAGTTAAAATTTATCTAAATCAAAACATGCATTAACCAACAATAAAGCAGTTTTGAAATAAACAAGTCATAAAATCAGTCTTTTGGACTGGCTTCGACACTCTAGCTACAAGATCTGGAGATGCGCGACCTTGTTTGATCGACGCGCACATGTTTGTCATTTACATTTGTCGCAAATTGGTTTTGGCTTGCGCACGACAACTTTTCACTACACACATTTTCACACGGAAGATTTTTAAAACAGTGCACATTGTAATCACTTGCGAATACGTCATCCTTCAACATAGTGGCTGGTTCCAGTTGTCGTCGATTCCTGCGAATTGATCCGTTGTCTGTTTCAATTATGTAAGAAGTCACTCTGTTGTGTCCTGGCTTTGATTGTCTCACCATATCCTCCTCCCTCTCTCTTTACCCAAACTGTTTCTCCGGCATTCAACTGAGATAACGGTCTTACTCTCCTAAACTTGTCAAAGTTTAGTTTTTGATTTTGACGATATTGTTCTTCCACTTGACGTACTATTCCCAAGTCTGGCCATTTCAGGTAGTAGTTACTTGGATTTTCTGGCAAAGTCGTCCGAATTTTTCTCCCCATTAAGAAATTGGCTGGGCTGCTTCCATTCTTTAATGGCTTTGCTCTGTATGCCAGTAATGCAAGATACGGATCAGCTGCGTTTCTGATTAAACATTTAACGGTCTGTATGGCACGTTCGGCTTCACCATTTCCTCGTGAATAGTGAGGGCTACTAGTTTGATGCAGGAATTTATAATCCTTCGAGAAGGTCTAAAAGACTGAGCTAGAATACTGTGGTCCATTGTCAGACACCAGAATATCCAGTAAACCATGTCTAGCGAAAATCGATTTAAGATGATTTACAATAGACTGTGAAGTAGTGCTTTTCAACTTGGCTATTTCAACGTAGCGAAAGAAAAAGTCGATGACAAGTAAGTAGTTGTCATTTTTCAGGTGGAATAAGTCTGTTTCTAACATCTCCCATGGTGTGTCTGGGAATTTGGTTGGTCGTAGAGGTTCATCTTGACTATGTTTGTTTTTCACACATATAGAACAGCTTTTCACTAGGTCCTCTGTCTCACGTTTTATCCCTAGCCACAAAATTGAACTCTTGACTAATTCCCGACATTTCGGTATCCCTTTATGTCCTTCATGAATTCTTTGGAACATCTCAGCTCTAAGGACTGTAGGAATGACAATTCGATTCCCTCTCATGAGTAAGCCTTGACAGACGAAAAGTTCCTCTCTTATCTGCCAAAAGGGTCGAGTGACAAGGTAGATCGGTGGATACTCATAACCAGGCCAACCCTCCTCACAGTACTTCATGATTATTCTCAGAACACTGTCCTTATGCAGTTTTCTCCGAATTTCTTCTAGAAATGAACCACTTGCGGGAAGAGTTTCTATGATGCTGTCTACATACGCTTCTACTGTTGTCTGTAACTCCCCTTCTCTTCCAATTTCTCCTTGTGGTGATCTAGAGAGTGCATCCGCTGTGTACAGTGTTTACTCGGGACATTTTATATCTCATAATCGTATCTCATGATTTGCATGCGGAAACGCTGTACTCTCGGTGGTAGATCACAAATAGTTTTACTATTTACATAGTAGTGCTATGAGAGGATTGTGGTCTGTTTCTATGCTGTATTTCATACCAATAAAAAATCCGAGAATTTTTCACAGGCTCATGTTACTGCCAGTTCCTTTTTTCTTTTTTGGACATATCGTTGTTCTGTAGGGTCATAGATATTGACGCATAGGCAATTATCTTCCAATTCTAATGCGCTTGTAGAAGTACGGCTCCAAAACCATACGACGACGCATCTGCAGACACCTTTTTGGTCTTCCAGCCACAATATTTACAACACACAGATGTGATAATGAGGTAAAATACAACATCAAACTTTATTGGAAACAAAAGTGGTGCATAAAAAGCGCCTCCGAAAAAACCCAAATAAAAATATTCCGGTTAAAAAATGTGGAGTATGGAGTGGAGGTGGTGGTTGCTTATTTGTCCACACAAATTTCGCGGCAGCACTCCGATTAAGCAGAGAAGTATATAAAAAGCATGCCTTGCATGGCAATCTGGTTAGCTGAGACAGCTACGGCCTAATTACAATTTATGAACTCGATAAAACCCGATCACAGAAAGAACGGGGTTAACAAATTAAAGGTTTTGTAAAATAACAAAAATATACATCGACAACCACAAAAACACATACACAAAATATTAAACATAAATAGGTTTATTTGAAAATAAACCTTATCTGATGTTAAAACTTTACTGGCAGACCATGGCAACAAAGCAGCTCTAATTGTTTCCAAAGTTCACAACAGAAGACCTGTTAAGTGTAAAAAAGTTGTCATCTATGTAAATGACGAATAATGAAATGCATTTATAAAAACAATTACAAAAGAATTTGGCTAGAGACATACCAGAATCATGAAAAAGCTTGACCAGAAATGCAGTTTAATAAATGGTTAAAAACCTTGGTCTCCCAGCCACAATAGTGTTACAACACACAGATGTGATATCGGGGTAAAGTACAACATCAAACTTTATTGGAAACAAAAGTGGTGCATAAAAAGCGTCATTAACCCAAACGGGTTGAAGCACTACTCACGATGTTGCCTTGGTAAAAATGTTAAATTGTTAAAATGATGGTTGGTAATGGTTGGCTAAGCTTATGAACATGGAGCACATACGAGCGGATTTGTTACTCAAACGATCGGGGGGGGGGGGGGGGGGGAAGGTTTAAAAAAAAAAAGGATTTCAATGCACCTAACATATGATAGTCTTAAAGGGTTTTTATCATGCATCATGATTTTTGATATAACAAGGTTTATATGCTATTAAAATCATCAATCAATTTTTTTTGGTGTAGAAAATTAATATTTTGGGTGTTTCAGCGATTCCAAGTTTAAATTTCTCAATATGCATATTTTGATCGCCGATGTTGCGCGCCATTGCTCTGACGTCATAGGTGTCAGTCCTGGTCAAGCGAAGTACTTATTGTGTTTACAAAACGGCTCAATGGCTTCGTCTTTAAACCCCACTAGAAATTAGATAAATGATAATTGGTTAATTGATAGATAATTAGATATAATTTGTGGCGTTTGGATGAAAAATCAGCATAGGAAAGATTTTAGGAAGTTTTTTTTTTACCTGCCAGGGACTTGGTCGGTGCGTGGATTTGTCTCCATTCACAGCATTCGTTAATGTACGATCACAATTTTTTCTGTATTATATAAAATATCCATTTAATGAATAGTATTTTTCAAAAAAGTAATAATTTATCAGTAGGTAAAAGTCCGGCACACACATCATGCACTGTGTGTTGTGAAGTTCGTAATGGCACATTGCGCCATTGAAGATCGAAGTGTCCTTTCTATCAAATGATGTTCATTGCTGGAACAGATAGAAGATACATAAGATCTGTTTATGTAGATTAGATTAGATGTAGATTAGAACTATTCAAAAAGTCATTTGTACCAGGCGCCGTGAAACAATGGAACTTTTTAAAATTAGATACAAGAAAAGCCATTTCAATTAATTCCTTCCGTAAAAACTTAAGAGCTTGTACAAAAATCATCAATCCACCAACGTATTTTTCTTTTGGTAAACGCTTCACAAACATACATCATACTAAACTAAGACACAACTGTTTACTAAATTATGATCTATATAAACGCAATATTATCAACAGTCCTCTTTGTTCATGTGGAAAGTATGAAGATGTTTACCATTGTTTTTTTGCTTGTATAAAGTATGCAATTGCTAGAAACAATCTTTTTAACCACCTATTTATGCTTGAAGAATTAGTTACAATTGATACTAACCTGTTATTATGGGGTGATATAGATTTGCCTGTATCAACTGATATGAATATATTTGCTGCTGTCCAGAGATTTATTACTGAAACATGTAGATTTTAAATTGATTAATGTTATTAACTTGCATCACTTGAAAATTATTATAAATACTATATTTTAATGTATTATTTGCATGACATATTGTTATATTTATGGAGAGGAACTAGTAAGTTGTAAGAACTTGTTTCCAATCCATTTGATTCGTTCAATAAAATATGTTCAAAACCAAAACAAAACAAATTTCTTCCAAACTAGTGGTGTATTCATTTTATTTCATTCAAATATCTATACGGTAGATGTTTTCTTACGATACGCTTTACGAGGTCTAATTGCCCATTGACACCTATGACGTTTCAGTACCACGTGACCCCTATCTAATTAGTGGAGATTTTCAACCTGAAGACCCTACATTACGGACGTATTATGGCTTAAATACGACAGTTTAAAACATTATTTTATAATCAAACGATAATTATATGTTCCAAGAATATAATAGTGTTTAATTTTTTTTTTAAAAATTCGATGCGTGATAAAAACCCTTTAATACATGTAAACACCATTTGTATTACACATATATCATGGCCTTCCATACAAAGGCAAAGGAAAAAATCAGAATAGGATGTAACAAGTGATGGAAATCAGCAGATAAATTACAAATGATGGTGAAACTTGCCCTAATGCATATAAAATTAAATAAACCATTCTGAAAGATAACAGGGCATACAAATTGTGAATTCTTTGAAATTAAACTTCATACAAATACGTACGAGGCCGAGGAATTTTAACCCGCTAAAAAATCAAAGGAATCCATGAACATAGATGGAAAACAGGCTACCAGCTTCTGGGCCTTATTAACATTTAAGATGAAAACTATGTCCAAAGGCAAACCTGCATACAAATCTGAACGCATTGCAAATACATACAAGAAACATATATTGACGCAAGCGTCAAAAATCGGCCGCAAACCAATTAATTGTTCCTTTTATAAAGGAACTAAAGACTGAAATGGTGATCTGTTTTTAAAATATCTTATATTTATCTGTTAATATATATCATCATGACATTAAACGCTTGTGCACGACATTGCATGATTTTTTTAAATTATAAAATCGTGTTCAGTATTACATGTATACATAAGCAAAGTACCCCTGGTCCTCTGCGTCAACAAACCGTGGGCCTGTATAATTAAGAGGCATTTACATTAAAAGTTTAAAACTAAAGTTTTATGTAATCTACAACTAGAAAAGCAGTGTATTTTTAATTTAATAAAAACGCAACAAATATTTGGGGTTCCTTGCTCTCTCTTAGAGGAAAAAACTAAACTGCCTCTAGATCCGCCACTGCATTTCTTCTCTTTCAGTTTCTTTGAGTTGTAGCGGGAAAATTCTTGGCACATTGTGAAACGTGCATTATCCTCGTCTGCTAAGGGCCAAATCTTGTGATATTCTGTAGCCTGCTAGGTCTTTTGATGAATTAACATTTAACCATATTTTTGAAAATGTTTATA